GATGTCAGGGAGTCACTTGGCAAGTCTCAGAGCCACCATTCCTGTCACCTGTGAAACCAGTCAAATTCTCTGGATGATGGAATGGTTTAATATCACAGGATCCAGTGTGTGTGGCAGGGCTGCTCAAGACATTAACACAGGAAGCAATATTGTTCAATGTTGACTTAACTGCCTGGCAGGTTATTCAGTGATGTGGAAGGATGGGAGCCTGCCTGGGACTCACAGCCCTGCAAACAGCATTTCTCCTTGGCAGGACTCCTTTTGCTACAGCTCAGTGATAAAAGCTTGTCTGAGCACGGAGTGAAAACGGCCTTCACCCAGCCCAGCTGGGCCCAGCACACCTGTCCACAGGAGGCTTCAGCATCTGCCACTGCTCAGCCCTTCAGCACCTCCAAAATAGGAACTTGGCAAACAGAGCCAACAGAGTGCATTGCTAAGCAGAACGTTCTGCCGAGTCCCAACACCAGGACTGCGTGTTATAGGGCACTTGCCAATTCCTGAGTCAACTTTATTTATTATACACAAGAAAGGTCATGACGAATCTCAAAAGATAAAATCTGTGTCTGTCAAGTCACCTTCCTTATTTTCATTGGCCCAGACCCTCACGTTCCACACCAACAATAACAGGACATGGGTTCAGGAGGCACCCTGAGTGCAGCTTACCCTGAGATGGCCCAGGCTTGTTTTGCATTCTTCATAGAACTGATCCAGGCTGCTCAATTCTCTTTATTAGGAGGTGGTTTTTTTCCTGGATGCAATCACCACACTGCACAAGAGCCCTGCATCCATGGAAATCCCAGAGAACAGGCAAAAGCTTTCACAGCCCAGATGATGCCAAATACCCAAATGATGCAGCTGCAAGTTCTCCAGCAACATGAGGTACCCGAGGTTTGCTTAACTACCAATACCAGCCCAAAAAACATCCCCATGGTCTCATCAACAGCTGAGGCAGCAAGATACCCCATACACATAGCTTTCTTCTTTGTCATCATGAGCTGTTACCTAGGAAAGACAAAAGATGGGAGCTGCCTCAGGTTCTGGGTAAATCCTTGGCTAAACCCATTCAATTGCAGCTTCACTGCTGTCTGTCCAAGCCAGCAGGTTTAAAGACTTCCCTGGGATCTGCAGAAGTTGCAGTCACCTCTCTGGATTGCAGAACACTCCCAGAAACCACAGTCTTTGCTTTGGAGTTCAGGGTAACAGTCTTGGACCACACATTATGGATCTGCACTCCACATAACCTCATCTTTGTACAGCTCATTCTGAACTTGCAGATGGAAAGTTCTTTTCCCACTCCTTGCCTTTAACCTGCTGAAAAATCACCACTGCTGCTCTCAGACCCAAACCTGGTTTACATTACTTTCTCTGATGTGTTGCAAGGACTCTAATTCTTGAAGTGAAATTCTGATTTTCTGAGATCTAGACAACACTTTCCTGACACTGCAGGATCTTAGCAGTGACTGCTGCAGTCCCAAAGCAGAGAAATGACTGCTCTTACAGCCAAAACTCCTCCAACAACTCCACCCACTGGGTCATTTCTGAGGAAACATCTCCAGTATCCAGAGATGCCCCTCTCTGTTGTCTGAACAACACTGAAGAGGAGATTGGGAAATCATGGAGGAGCACAGGTCCACTTCCTATTCAGGGAGACTCCAACCTGCAGTGGGTCACATCATCTAACCTGAGGTGCTCATCTCTGGGATCAGAGGAGTGGATCCCTCTCAGGGTCACTCAAAGCAGGTAAAAGTCTGTCTCCTTCCTGTGAATGAACATACAGAGAATCTCTTTTCTCACATGGTCACAGTCAAATGCAAGACTGGAGGAATCCTTCCTGTGAAAGTAAATTGTGAGGTCCACAGGGCCTCAGAGGAGGTGCTCAGAGCTTTTTAACTACCTGAAAGTTCTTGAAACACATGCAGACACTTGTGTGTATTATGCTTAGCAGCAAAGTCTTCCAGTTTGTGGCAAAAGTGACAAGGAAGATTCTGCTGCTTTAAATACTGTGAAAAGCTCTTTAGAGCCAAAATCATTATTTCCCATTTGTAGGGAAAACCCGCTAATCCTCCACAGTCCCATCCTACTTCATCACTCAGAAATGTCAGCAGTTCCCCAGTGCTGCAGCCAGCTCATATCTGCAGAGTCAAATTGCTCAGGGGGACTGAGCCAAGGTGTGGATCTCTGAGCAGAGATTTCTGATCAGGCCAATTGTGCTGTTGAGCTGGGAGCTCTCTCTGTTCTTCCAAGTTCTCTTTCTTAGGCACAGCATTGTTCCCTGGGCTCCTGCAGACGCCCATTGTTCGGGAGCTCCCGGCCTTTGATGCTGCGGAACAAAACGCTCAGTGTTTGTGAAAGGAGGGAAAATCAAAAAGCTGCTCAGTTGCACACTTGGTTGAACAGCTCGGGCAGTTGGCTGCAGAGCCCCAGGGCTGCAGAGCACCAGGGTGCCAGCACCTCCATGAGGAGGCCTTGAGCACAGCTCAAAGTGACCCAGAAGAGGGAACGACCACCCAGAAGGTGGTTGATGGCTATCTGGTGAACTTTTATGTCAGAATCTCCCAATTCCAAGTGCTCCTGGACTCACCAGACTTCTATCAACCTCCTTAGACACACATTTAGTAGCTGCCAGGTGGAAAAAGCTGGAAATTACTTCTGCTTCAGCATTGCTCAGATTTGACAGGAGAAACAGCACAGCAGCATCTAGATTTCCTGCCTCCATTTCCAGACTAATTTGGCTGGCAAGAGCTGGGCAGAAGTCTGAAAGGGTGATGGTCTGAGGTGCACCAGCAGGGCCACATGGAAGGAGAGCCAGCAGGGTGGGATGGCCCAGGTCCTGCTGTGGGATTCTTCTTTGCCAGGGCAGTGGTTTGGGTGAAAACAGCTCTACTTTGTGTTCCATACACAGCTGTGAGGGATTTCTACTGCCACGATGGGAGAAGTCTTCCAGTCCATTTGGGTCTGTCACTTTAGTCCATGCTAATCTCTCCTGGGAAAGCATAGGCAGCACCAGGGAGAGAGCTCTCCAGAAGGATCAATCAATGGAGAAAGCTAACAACATAATAAAAAAATACTTGCACACAAGATCCAGCCAGCCGGATCTTCCTGGGACAAAGGCACTCACGCTCTCTTTTACAAATATATTTTATTATTTTAATGCTTATTAAGAAATGTAACCAAGACAGACTCCGCAGCACCAGCGGCTCCTCACTGCCCAGCAGTCTGATGACTTCACAGATAAGAAAACTTCACAGATTCAAAAAAACCTTTGGTCAATGCACTTTAAATACATTTGCATGCACAGATTCTCCCACCTTCTCCCTTCCCACCCCCCACCCCCCCAATGGTAACTGACAAAGGGAAAACAACACCTATATCATAAAACATTTAAATTAAAAGAATAACTGTTTCATACTGACAGCATGTGCAGCGGGGTGTTCATAGTGTCTTGGTTTGCACACCACAGAGAACCTCTCCACAGGACAGGGCAGGAACACCAGCTCCTGAGACAGTGGGGGAGGGATGGATGTTCTCAGATCAACAGGTTCCAGTCTTGATTTGAACACATCCTTGTGTGAACAGCCCCAGCAAGCAAGTGAGGTGGGGAGTTACACACAGCATTGCCCCAGTCTGGGGATTCTCATCTATCAGGGTGAGTCACCTCTCATGCAAATCAGGAACTGGTGATTTTTGTTACTCTTTATGTGTTTTGCCATAAAGACAGCCAGAAGCTGAGGGCTGGAAAGAAAAAAAATGCTGAAATGACTCAGTGCAATTTGATGCCCAAAACAATTTGGGAGAGAACTGACTTTCAGGCAGCTGAACTTAGCAAACACCACCAGAGAGTATATGCAGGTTTAATGCATTGTGGCACCACTGCAGCCTGTTTGTCCTTCCACAGAACTTGGCTGGAAGGATTTGGTTTAGGTAGGGCCCATGCTCATGAAGCAGAAGGGGATTTGTTATACCTGGAGTTGCTCATGAAATGGGACAATGTATCTGGAAAGAACATAATCCATAAGAACCATCCCTGCCTCAGTCAATACAGACCCTACAAAGTCAACCCTGTGCACGCCCCAGGAAAGGCTGATCCTCCAAGCCAGCATCACCTCTGCACCCCTCAGTACCTCCCAGCACATTCCTGCTCCCCTGAAATCCTCCCAAACACCTACTCTACAAATGCTCCTTCACCACCAAGAGTTCCTGTCCATCCTGACCCTCCAGTCTCCCACACCTTAGAGGCTTCTCCATTTCCACCAGCATCCCCTGAGGCATCGCCAAAAATGATCACAGGCTCAGGCTATTCTATGTCACTCCAAGTCCACCTGCACCAACTGGGACCAGTGAGAAACCCTTTCTGTCTCCAGCATTCCCAGCTGTCCCACCATGCCACACTGCTTCTTGGTTCAAGAGCTGCAGTTCAAACTTGCACAGAGCTTTGAAATATCACTGATCCAAATGGGACTCTGCAGGATACAGCTGTGAGTGCATTTATTTGCACACACAAAAAGCAGTGCCCTGTTGAGGAGAGAGCACCAAGAACTCTTGGTAAAATTACTCCTGGCAATGGATCAAACGTTGCTTTCTCCAAAACTCTTATAAAGCAAATAAACTCTGGAGCCTAAGAGTCTTCAGGGAATGGTGAAATTCATGGAATGCCCTCACACCAAATGAGGCACCACATCTCTCTATGCATCTTCAGACTTTTTTAGCAAGAAGTTCTCGTTCAATTAAATTACTCTCTGCTGGCCCCAGCTCCTACTCTCTGGACCCACTGCACCTGGGATTCTCAGGAAGGTCTTCTCCAGCCTCTCCTGATAGTCACCTCATTCTTCCCTTTGTCTTGGCACCATTTTTGTTTATCCAGAACAGCTGGATCAGCTAAACGTTCTCCAGCTGGAAGAAAAATGGGGATATGAGTGGTCCTAGGAAGTTTGGAAGGCAGGTACTTCTCTCAAGAGTGGAGAGCTGCCAGGAGAAGGAAAGAGCACACTTCATTGATGGGATTTTAATGGCAAACAAACAAAAAAGCAGGAAGCCCTGAAATTATGATCCCGAGGAAACAAGAAATATGAAGTCCAAAATTCTGTTCAAAAGGCTCCTGCTCTCCCCACAACTGCTTCAGAAACGTCCTCTGAGGGTCCATCTCAGCCATGTGTTTGCCAGAAGGCCCAGCCTGTGGTGCAGCTGCCATCCCTTCCTTCCTGTGACTGCAGAGAGCTCCACAAACCACCCTCTCCATACCCTGCCCTTCCTCCTGCACACAGCTCACCCCTTCACACACCCTTTTCACTTCAAGTCCTGATCACTAATATTGAAAGGGACTGGATACACTTGGGGGCAGCTCAAGCAGCAACACAAAATTCAAGACATGTGGAAAGTCACTAAGCTCACGTGGTGATCTGGTTGGGCAGAAAAGCAATCTGGGAAGCAAAGCAATCCTAAGCTTGTCCATCAACATAGATCAACTTGATTCTTGGGGCAACCAAGCAAGAAACAGCCACAAGTAGGTGTAGAGATGCTCAGGAAATATAGAAAGCAACCAATCCACACCAACTGTTGAAAGTCTGATCCAATACAGTGCAAACCATCCCTTCACCAATGGCAGCTAAAGCTCAGCAGGCAACACTTCTGCACTTGTGTGTGTTCCAGCACATGAGCAATGCTGGTATTTTCCCACACTTCCTTCCCTGCTCTGGGTCTTTGTGGACCTAATTGTTATTGGCATGAGTGCCGGATGTAATCTTGTGTTATTCTTAGAAACATTTCAGCTCCCAGCTGAGGCCTGAAGAGAACAGCCCCCCATTTTCCTGAGTTTCTCTGCCACTGTTACAGGAGGTCAGAGAAGCCATCACACAAAGAACCTCCAGAAATATTCCACCAAGAAGGACCAGGAGGAACGAGATCCCGAGTCACCCTGTGGAGGAGCTGCCTGTGACGTCAGTGACAGGGAATGGCTCAGAGTTCCTTCAGCTGCTGCAGGGATAATCCTCTCCTCTGACGTCAGACCACGGGCAAGAGCCCTGCCAAGAAAGCAGCAGTTCAATTAAACCACCAAGCCTATTGTTTTACAACTGGCCTGTCTTTCTGTAAGGACTGTGGTGGCAGCCACATCATTTTATCCATCTCACAGTAAGCTTTGTGCTAGCCCACAGCAGCTACATGCTCAAACACATTCAGCATCACAAACTTCTCCCCACGTGTGTAGGGAAACTGGCAAAAAGAAAATTCTCCTCAAAATAAAACTGATTTTTCATTTTAATAGTTCACAATATATAAAATAAACATGGAATAAGAACACACAGACCTAACCTGCTCTTCCTCAAGTATGAAAATCCCCCTTAACTTCTGAAATGTTCGTGGACAGACACGAGGAGGAACTAGATTGAGGGAGGATATTTCTGATGTTTTCAGCTAGGGAATAAGCTTCAGATTCCTGGAATTACCAGACTTTTCACTTCCCAGTAGGACCTGGGACTACTGCCTGTCTCTCCAGAAGGCTGGTAGTACTGGACATGGATTATTTGTCTGAAAAACACAACCCAGGCAATCTTCAGGTAGAATTCAAGCTGATGTGGTTTTCTGCTGTTCTTGAGCTGCCAGACTTCCTTAATTTTCCTTCCAGAAAATTACCAAACTGCAGTGAAACACCTCTGCAACAAACCACAGCAACGTGTACACTTGCTGCAGCACAAATTTGCCTGTTCTCTTCTACAGAAGTAGAAACTGCAGTTTCTAAGCTGAGTTCCAATACCACTGACACCTTTCAGCTTCTCAGAGCAGGAGCATCTTCTAACCAGACAGAGCCCAGAGCTTCTTCTGTTGGGCTCTGCACCACAGGGACACATCAGGCTTCACAGGAAAAAAAACTGAAATCACAGGAGAAAAGGTTTTTTAAATAGAGCTCATTGGAATTCCAAAATTAGGTCAAGGTATGTGTGTGGGTCGCTCTCTATCCCAAGAAAGAAGTAAAAAAAAGTCCCTCAGCCTGTTGAGTGAGGATGAAGATGACTGAAATATGGAATATTACCTCCCCTCACACACATCTGGGGCCATGGAAAGAATTTGCATTCTAGGAGCTCAGGAGGAGAAGCACAGAGGCAGGGGGAGAGCTCTACAAAGAGCTCACACAGCCACAGCCCTTGACAGCCCTGCCCTGAGGACACAGCCTGCAGCACCACGTCCTGCCAACAGCCCTTTTGCCAAGGGAAATCCTTGGCAAGGCTCAGCTTTGGTGATTTGTTGGACAAAGATGAGTGCTAAGAGGTTATATTTGCCCTGTGCATCTGGAACACTGAGCACTCAGGGAAAAGATATGAGCTCTTGCCCATCTTTTATAAGTTAACATAAAGTAACCTTATCATCATGTGGAAAAAAACCATTTGAGCAACCTGTTGCAGTATAAGCTTCAAGAACACAAACTGAAAGACAAAGTGCCGTGGTTGAAAGTATCCAGAGTTCCAATCAGGTAAATTCCTTCCCTCTCCAAGCAGTTCCTGGCATCCTTCCTGACAACAGATTTTGCTATCCCCCCTTCTGCTTGTTGCAGGGCCACAGTACTCAGAGGCCCTTCCCAGCTGCTCTTTGTTATTCAGGGAATACTTCCAGCCAAGCTTCTATTTCCATTGGTAAAGACAGCGAAACCAACTCTCAACCACAGGCACAGTACAGCAAAATGTCCTGAAATCCCTGCATCAGCAGTCTCCCAGTGCTCAGCTTGGAATGCCATCCTCGACCTTGGCACCTCTCTTGGTGACAGGTCATTGATGGGTAACGTGTCCCTCCTTCCTTAGTCCACTTCAGTGGTCTCTTGGCTCTTCTCCAGGCTGGTATTTAGGATCATCCAACAGTCCTGGATATGGACCCCTTTCTCCACAGCGATCTGAGTACACTGCTCTCCCCCCGCCCCCCAGCCTCCCTTTCTGCCATGGCAGAGGTGACCAATGGAAAAAAAAATAATTCTACCAGGAGAACTTCGAAAGTCTCATCAGGAAACATCAGCTGCAGCAAAGGCTGCTCTTTCCAGATCTGAGTAAGACACCTGGGCATCAATTAGCTCTTCGCTGTGAAGCTCCCTGTTCAGGCATGCGTCTGAGAGAATCCCATTTTTACAGGAATGCGGGAGATGTCCGTTTGTCTCCAAGTCCAGAGCATTTCCATTCTGGTGCCATTCCAAGGCAGCTTTGCATTTGTTCAAGTCCTGCTTTTCGGGATCCCTGTGGATCTCTCCGTTGCTGTACACCTCCAGTGCATACTCACTGATCCGTATGCTGGCGTTCTCTGCGTCCCCCCCGTGGGTGGAAGTCCTGGAGCTGGCGGCTCCCGCCTTGAACGGCTCCTTGCGGCCCAGGATGTGCTGGCTGATGATTTTCCGGAAGGTGTGGCGGAACTCCCTGATGCGGTAGGCATAAATCAGGGGGTTTACCACCGAGTTGGCGTGAGACAGGATAATGGCCAGGTACATCAGCCACAGGGGAGCGTGGGCACAATCTGGGCAAAAAAGGGTAAAGCAGTTAATGATGTGCAGTGGAAGCCAGCAGACTGCAAACAGCCCGACGATGATGGCCAAAGACTTGGCTGCGTGGACTTCCTTCTGCAAGGTGGAGCGGGAACGTTCCCCGTGTACCATCTTGTTCTCCATCTGCTTGAGCTGGCGCCGGGCTGCCATGAAGATTTTCAAGTAGATACCAAACATGAGAAGGAGGGGCAGGAGCACACAGGCAAAGAAGTTGTAGTAGACCATGTACTCCATGGTGACCACGGCCTCGAAGAGACACGCCACCATGCTGTTGCTGCAGTTGATGGGAGAGGACCAGTTGGAATGCGGCTCTTGGATCTGGGCACGCTTGTGCCACCCCAGCATTGGGGTCAGGCCGATGATGAAGGACAACACCCAGCAGATGGCAATGACGCCTTTGGCTCGAGAGCCAGTCACCAAACCATTGTACCTGCAAAGCAGAGGAGATGGGAGCTGTGTCAGTGACATTCAACAAGCTGCTGGCACTCACACAACTTCACAATGGCCCCATGGTCCAGAAGACACTGAGAAAGGCACCTGCTTCATCAGAGGGGCCTTTGCACTGATGTGCAGAACCCATGCAGCACACCAAGGACATGGTGACACTGTCTGCCACCTACTTCCCTCCTCTTTCCTTTAAGCAGTGAATAGTTGACAGAAAAGCAGGGAAATCAATTCAGTTTTCATCCGTGCTCCTTCACTGCACCAGTCCACTTGGGTGTGCACATAGATCTTGCAGCCTGGATAACCAAGAGCACTGCTCTGACCCTTGTGATGAAGACCACTGTGGGTCTCTTGCCAAAGCCCAAGGCAGCATCTCCTTCCTGACAAAGGAGCAGCCTTTTAGCATGGAATTGTTAGGTCTGTCTTGCAGTAGATCTGTAAACCAAATAGCACAAAAGAGCCTGGAGGCACAGTGCCACCAGCCCTGCATCCACATTCTGGTGTGCTCCAGGGAATTCCTGCTGGCTCAGTTGCAGCAGCCAGGCTGGCATTGCCTGCATGGCATCTCACTCTGCTCCTCAGTGGCACTTTCAGGAAGACCAGCACCACCAACCTTCTCAAAATAACTGAGGCAAGTCAGCAGTTTTCCTCACCAGCCCAGCTAAGTCAACCCCATGTCTTTCTCAGAAAAGAGGAATTAAGCTGGGGACAATTCTCTGACTACAGGTGTGCCATGGCCTGCACTGCACACACCAAAGGGACCTCAGTGGTGGAGGTATTGATGCCTGCCTGAAGCCAGTGCTCTTAATAGCAAACTTTCCAAAATCTGTTGAAAGAAACAATAAGCAACATGTAAGAATCTGACAGTGCAGCAGAGACCTTGGTTTGTTTGTTATCAGCCAGTTTCCAGGGCCTCACAGGTTACTGCGAATCCTGAGCTGACTCCACCAGTTCTCCCCTCTGAAAATGTAAATTAGGGCAGCAGTTCAACATTTCAATGCAATTTCCTTCCCTGGGTAATGCTCAGCATGGAAAGTAGATGGCTGGGTTCCCACATGGCAGCGTGGGTCCCACACTGTATTTGACCGGACAGTAGCTCCCAGTGTTTACCCAGTGCTCCTTCTCCCTCTGTCCCCAGAATTCTCTCCAAAAACAAACATTACAAGAAATAATACAACAAACCACAGAAATCTTTCCATCTCCCAGTGAAATAATTACTCCCACAGGTTCATGCTCCTATCCCAGCACAAGTTCAAGACAGAGGAGAAGAGTGGCTGCCTTTGCACAGTAAAGAATGGAGATCCTGCACATGCTTTAATCCTTGACCATGGGCCTTGGAAAAAACAAGACCCATCAGGCTCCAATTTCCCTTTCTCAGTTGCACTTCAAAACCAGAAAAGAGTAAGTGGATAAGGGAGCCAAGCACACAATTCCCAGCACGCAAAACACACCTAAATTGCCCTTCCAGAAATGAGGAAGGGATTCAGCTGATTCTGAGGGAGAAAAAGGTTTTTTCCAGCAATTAGCGGATCCTGCCCAGTGCTTAAAGGATGCAAAGGGCGAAGCATGAATGGTAGCAGAGAGCTGCTCCATTCAGACCTCATCAACACATCAAAACAGCATCTGTGCTTTGAAATGTACACTCAGGGAGCAAGAGAGTGGCTGGAGGCCCTTGAAGCTTGAAAAAGCAACAAAACAAAACAAACAGAAGAAAACAAACAAAAACAAACAAAAAAGACAAAACAACCCAACAACAACAACAACAAAAAAATCCCCAAAACATCCCACAACCACCAAAACCCTGCAGCCCTGGAATTAGCTACATCTTGTCAGAGGAATTTTGAAATTGTGCAGCTGTTATCCCACGACTAGAGATGTCCCTTCCCTTCCACTAAAAATACATTCACTACTGCTGCAGACAAACACCCCGCCACACTTCCCCCTCCCTCTTGTCCTCTGGGGATTCCCATGCAAGGATCTTTACAAGGCTTCAGAGCAGCACTGAACCCAAGCAGCTGCCCAGCTGCAGAGCATTGTCCTGCAGTGCATGTCCATAACACCTTGCTCAATATCTCCCAGGGTCAGGACAGAAAGCTCACAGCATCTGCTGACAAAGCCAATGGCCTTGTGCTGGCCAGGTACCCACTGAGAAGTGTTAATTTGTTTAGGAGAGCTTAATTTCTGGGACCCACATGAGGCACCTCTGACTGACTTGGCTGAGGTAGCATCATAGTCCAGATGGGCTTTCCTGGACTCTTTCCTCTTCTCCACTTGGAGATGTCATTGAAGACTTTGTGTACATCTTGGTGTGCTTGGTCTCAGTATCTGTCCAGGCTCACAGCAGCCAGGCCAAAGCCATTCCATTCTACAGGGTAACCTCAGGGCTTCCCAGACACATCCCCTACCCTGGGGGTGGCTGGCACCACGCAGGAGACACAACCAGCTGAAAGGAGCTGGTCACACCTGCAGCCCCTGGTCTGCATGGCTGGCAGGTGACTTTGCAGCGTGTCTGGTGTGTCCAGGCAGCACTGGATTGTCTGTGCAGCAGCAGTTCTGCTTCCTGGAAATAACACACTTGCTACACAACCAATCACTTCTGCTTGTGAAATTCCAGACACAAAGGAGGTGAGTGCAGAGCACAGGGATGCTCATGGTGGGGATAGAGTCACACGTCTCCTCTAAAAAGCAAACCCAACTTTTGCAAACACATGAAAATGTGGAAATTTTCCCCAAAATAGTTTCAACCCGCCCTGCTGCTCTCCCAAATACCCAGCTGGCAAAATGGAGCAGGAGAACAGCTGCCCTTGGTGAATGTACAGCTCCTCTGGGCTGCCTAGAGTAACCTGGCTGTGGATGTGCCACTTCTGGGCCCTTGGACCAGTTCTGTGCCATGAAGACGAAGAATCCTCTGAGGCTGGGTGGAAGACAGAGCTGGTAGTCTGTCCAGAGTGTCTTCAGGGAGAAGTTAAAATCTTTCAATACATTGAGTGATATGTAGTTGGCCTAACTCACCCTCACAGTGTCCAGCCCTCCTTTGGTGGACAGCACTGCACATCCTCTGTCAGCTGTGGAGCATTTTTCAGACACTGCATCACCCTAATGCTCAGCTGAGGGCTTTGATCTGCATTCAGGCACTGCTCAAAGGTGTTCAACAAATCACTACAAAATGCTGCTCACCAAGCACCCACCAGCCCACACCTCAGGCAGCTGCAGCCATCAGGGACAGGATCAAGCAGGAGATTCAATCCCTATTACATGTATGTGGAAATGAGAGACCCTGGCAATCCCAGATCATCCAGGAAACCCGTGACAGGGCAAGAAATCACACTGAGACCTTCACATGTACCAGCTGAACAAATCAAACTGAGACCTTCACATGTACCAGCTGAACAACCTTTCCCAAACCACTCATCTGGAACCTTCCTCCTCTATTGCCAGGTACCAACAGATCCTGGTGTTTCTCCATGCTATGGAGAGGGGGGAGGCCCCCAGGTGGGCACAGGTGCCCAGCATTATCTCTTTAATCAGCAGGAGCAGGAATGATGGGCAGACACGTTCTGCTTGTGACGTGAGCAGCTTCCTGAACAAAACCTTGGTAACAGCAAGTTCTGTGCAGGCCATGAAGGCACTGCTTTCAAAGCTGTGCCCATTTAAAAGAAGGAGGGGAATTACTCTGTTCCCACATTAGGCTGAACCCACCCTAAATCTATTTAACATATGAGCATACGTAGGAAATGCCTGCCATAAAATCAAAAGGTTTATGGTGAGCAGGGAAAGAAATAAATCCACATATGGCTCAAAGTGGCAATAAAACATTAAAACCCTGATTCACTGGTTTAGATGCTCACATAGGAGCATTTCAGATAGGACTCTAGGGAATTAAAGCAACTACTGAAACAGGCTGTTCTCAGCACAAAGGTCCCTTGCACATCCTATGCTTTATTCAGGGTTGGTGTTCATCTCCCCTGTTCTTCCTAGACTTTGGGAACCCAGTTCTTCACGTCCTGTGGCAGAAAAACATCCCAATGCCACCTCAGAACTGCAGTTTAAATCACCACCACATGGGAAAAATCAGTCCCAAAGCTCCAAACATCAGGGAGCTGCACCTTAATAATGTTTCCCCAGAGAAGCCTTGCAGCAGCAAAAGCAGCTTTCACCAGAGGCAAGGACCTGCAGTGGGCACTGTGTGACCCACGTGCTTCGTGCCTGAATCCAGCACAGAGAGCAAGCAGCAACCTCAGTAACCTCAGCAAACTCCTCTGTTTGGCTGCAGGAAGGAAAATCTCCCCTCTCTTTCCAGTGAGCCACCTGTCCTTCCCTGGGAATATCTGTCCACAAAAGCCTGCCCAGGAGCACGCGGCTGGGCACGCTGCCCACGCAGCCCTGGCTGGCACCACGGAGCCTGCAAAGCAGCAATTGTCCTTGGCCCAGGGCTTCATCCTGGGGCTCAGACTCACAGCCACTTTTGTCCAGAGCACCTGGGGGTTGATATTAGCCAGTGCAGGTTTTCAGGTACCTGCCATGGGAGAGCCTCACTTTGTCCTAGAGTGAACAATGGCTCGGGCTCCCTTCCTTGGGAGTGCCTTACTGCCACTTGCAGAGTGTTACATTTGTATAAAACCTGGCAGAATTCAGCCAAGTGCTTGAGAACTTGTGGAAAATAGACCAAATTCTACGAAATGTTTCCATTGTATGAAAGGCAGAACATATAAGATATTCACAAATTAGTTTTTATCTATTTTATCTATTTTATTTTTTGGAGGAGGGTATCTTCTCCACAAAAAAAATAATTTCAAAGGTAACTAACAATGTACTGAAGGGTCCAAAAGCAAGCAGTATCAGAAAACCCATTCTTCTGCCTTCTTAATACTGACAGTTTATTTCTGTGGGAATACATATCCACATGTGGAGTTACCTTCATTAGGACAGATCAGACATGAAATATTTAAAGAGAAACAGAAGAATAAAGCACAAGTTTGGCCCTTTTTGGTTTCCCTAGAGTGAAGGAAGTCTGGCTTATTAATTATTCAGCTAATGAATATTAGGAATACCTGCTGGTACCTTTCATGTCCTGTGAGGAGGAGAAGGGGCCTTCCCAGGTATTAAAGGATGAGGTGAAAACAACACACTGTTAGTGGCAGAACTTTCCATCAAATTGTTTGACCCCTTTTTGACACAAACAGCTATTAGAAAAAAGAAAAAACATGAGGATGTGGGCAATCTAAATTATACCACATTTTCCTCTTCAGATAATCAGCTTTCACTTTCTCACCATATCTGAGGCTATAAATGCTTGTTCATCCATAAATTCTAAAGGCAAAACACAACTGACAAGTACATCACTCCTGCTGTGAAAGGACAAACAGCAGAGGACAGAGAGGAGGAGGAACCCATGGATTTACCTGTGGGTTTCTGCATCCAATCAGTCCCTCTGTTCCTGGGGAGGACGAGGGTGTGCTCTGTTTTTTCCAAAACAAGATAGTGAAAGAAACCGGTGTCATGCCCAGCACTGATGTGGTCTGGTTTTTTGAAAAGACTCTTTACCTTGGCTGTTCCAGGAAATTACATTTTCAAGACAATATAGTTACAGTGATAGCCCAAAACGTGGGCAGAAATCCAGATTTTAAAAATCTCTTTCCTGGCAAGTCATGCTCTAGCAATAAGAGTGCTTAAACTGTCAGCAGACATCTTCAGAGTTACCTTGTGAGGGATGAAATTAAGACATCAGCCCTTCTCAAAACCATTTCAGAGGCAGCTCCCAGGGGCTACTCAACATATTTCCTTGTACCATTTATCATTATTTTGGTTTATAAACTGAAATAATCTATAGCAGAACTGTAGAAATGTGGAGACAGTCCAGTTTATAGGCAACTATTATCAACAGAGTTTTCTCTGCAATGGAATGGAACAGTTATTTCTTACATCTACATCAAAACTAGAGGCTGTAACAGGTATGACCAATAGGGTTTGGAGACAATGTTAGAGCAGCACAAACTTGCTGAGGTGAGGCTTCAGGAAGGACTTGGCTGCACTGGTCCATCCACATGGAAAGGCAATTTCCGCTCTCCAGGGCTCCCATTCTGCTTTTGAACAGGAGGTTTGTGTTAATTGACACAAGTGCTGCATGACCAAAGTACTCAGAAGAGACAGAAATAAATTGTACAGATCAGCAAAAGTGATTTAAGCTCAAGAAGAGTGAGGATGTCCAAAAACTCAAACTCAAGAGCATAAAAATCAGAAATTGGTTCCATTTTTGCAGCCACAGTTGGCTGTTCAGGAGACGAAGGCGGTCTCTCCTTTCCTGAGAGCATGCTGCATCCTCCTAAGGACAAGACAGGAAGGAAGGAGACTCCTACAGTTCTCCTGCAGCCTCTCCAGAGCTTCCTCTCCATCTCTGGAGCTCAGTGAGTGCCTCAGAGCAGTGGCAGCAGCGCGGGGCTGCCTCGCGCCCACGGGCACTCGGAGCCCATTGCAGCAACGTGCTCCTGCCAGCCTGAACTGAGCAGCAGCCCCTGCGTGTGTGACAAAACCTGTCCTTGTCCCATGCCAGCCTCCCTGGTCCCACACCAAGCAGCAGCCAGTCTTAGTCATTAAAATGTCCTTTCCTTTCTTTCAACTGCAGAGACCAAAAATCCCCACCTGCAGGCGTGGGGTGGGACAAGCCTCCACCTTGACCCAGCCCATGCTGTGCTTCCAGAGGCAGTGCCTGAGCCAGTCCAAACCTTCCTAAAGCCCATTTCTTGGTAGCCTGCTGCTTCCTCTCCCTTCCCATGTAACAGACTCCTGAGAGAAAACCCCACCTCCCTCCGCCCAGCCCAGCTGCTGCAGCCTCAGGCAGAGCCCCCTGCTCCCCACAGGGATGGGGACAAGCTGACCTCACCCCCTTCCTGCCCTGCACCATCCCTCTGGTGCCTCTGGCTGCAGCTCAGGGCACAGCTTGCCTGGGTATGGAGTGGCAGCTCCCAGGCAGCACCTCTGTGATGCCATGGACACCCACCATAGGAGAACAGGGAAGAAGAGGAAAAGGAAGCAAGCAGAAAATCCACCAGCCAAGGCAGACTTTAGGACCTAGAAAAGTTGCTTTCAAAATACAAGAGAAAAAGAACCAATCTTCATTTAACTTTGCCTTCCTTGATTCATCTCCAGACCTGTGTTTTTTAGGGATGTTGAGCCCTCACCTCCCCAGCCCAGCCCCTGCTTACCTGAGGGGTATTCGGATGGCAATGATTCTGTCGATGGCGATGGCGAGGAGGCTGAAGATGGAGCTCTGAGTCAAGACCAGGACAAAGCAGGCAATGAAAAGGCAGCCATAGAAGAAGGCACAGAAGCCAGTGCTGATGGTGATGGCAAAGGGGATTGCCAGCACCCCCACAGCAATGTCAGCAGCAGCCAGGGACACCACAAAATAGTTGGTGACGTTCTGCAAGTTGCTGTTGAGATAGACGGCCCAGCAGACCAGGATGTTGCCCAGGATGGCCAGCACAGCAATGATCAGCTCCAGGATGATGTAGGCTATGTCTGAGAGGAAGTCGTCCTTCCCATGTACTAGCATGGTGAGAACAGCCAGCCCCAGAGCTCAGCGTTCATATCTGCAGAGCCCTGAACAGCCAGCACCCCTCAAAGCTGCCTGGGCTCCCTGCTGCCAGCCCAGGAAAGCTGCTCACACACACGTTTGCCTCCCCATGGCTGTTCAAGGACTTTACAGTAGATGGTGTCAAGAAAAAGAACCCCTGGGTCTGCCAGCTCCAGCAAAGTGGATCAACCAGGTGCAGAATAATTCAGGCTCCAGCAGACAAATGGACAGGAGAATCTCTCTTGGGGACAGACAGTGCTCCCCAGGCCTCAGGGTCCAGCAGGCAGCACAGCACAGCAGCTGTACTGTACAGCAGGGCCACATTGGCTGCGGTGCTTTGTTTCCTGTTGACAATCCCCCTTCTAGTCATGGCTTCCTGTCATCTCCACACCATAGCAACATCCTCTGGTCCTCTTTTTCACCTTTTCCCACCAGGACTTGGGAAATATTCTCTTCAGCTGAAGCAAACATTAAACTTCTTCACTTGCAGTTTCCTCTAAAAAGAAAAGAAAACACCAACCACATAGACTAAGTAATCAGCTCTACAGAGGAGATGGAGAAAGCAAAATCTCATTAAAGTGGCACATTAAATTGATAACGGATATTACACAGACCTAGAAGAATACATTATTGGCAAAATTCTCACATTTTGTCTATCCTGAAAGCTGCAGGGCCAAACCCAAGTTCAGGAAGGCAGCGTTTCACAGTGGTGATGATGAGAAACAAGGGACGTTTTGTTTTCGAGGCTACCAACTGAGCTGGCACTTCAGCAGCTGCTCCACAGCCCGCCCTGAAACACGAGAGCCCCACTAATTATGTCCTGGCAAGTGCTGAGGCTGCACAGGGGAAAGGTGGAGGAGCCTTTCACACACACCTGTCTCCCTCTGATGGCAAACACCGCGTTTGAGCCATCACGTGCTGCCCACCCTCGTGTGCTTTGCCACAAAACTGCTGCCCCATCCCCTGCTCTGCAGGGACAGGAGCCCTCACCCACAGGGCAGCTGCTCTGCTGGCATGTGTGGTCACCCCTCTGGGCCACACCTGTCTGGCCTCCATGGATCCAGGCACTGGAACAAGACCCAGGGCAGGGAGAAGTGTTCAAGGTGTTCAGACAGGGACATCTTTGAGGACACTCCTGCTGACCATGCTCACTCTTTCCCTTCCTGCAACTCCATTATTTTTGTTCATGTAAATCTCTATCCTATAAGCAAGCCATTTGTTCATGATACCTGCACTGTCCATAGTGTTTGTTGCATCCAGGACAGCATCATCCTTCTCCTACAACCAGCCAGAACCAGGCCCACCCAAACACACCTCTCCCAGAAAAACACACACGGACACAGTGCCAGTGCCATGGCTCAGGGCTGCATTCCAGCTCCTGCAGTGTCCTGCACACAGCTCTGGGGCTAAAGCTGCTGCTGCTTGTGAGGAAACAATCCTGCAGCTGCATTTCATACCAGCAGATACACATCACCTGCACGCCCTTGCCGGTCACCTCGTACCCCTGCTTCAGATATGGGTGCATTTCACCACAGCTTCAGCTAAAAATACAGAAGGGAGAACACAATTCCCTGAGCTTTGTGCCACAGTCAAGAGATAATTGCTTGCTGTCCTCGCCTGTCACTTCCAGAGTGGGTTGCAAACCTTATTTAGCAAGCTTTAGCAATAATATTTTCTCATTAATTTAAGAAACAGCTTGATACATCAGAGGGTTAGGAGAGAGAGAAGCACAGCTCTAACTGATAAATCACTGAGCTCAGTTTTGGATGCAACATGAACCTCCAAAACACAAGATTTTTGAGCCCCATCCACAGGTGATCTGGCGTGGTCTCACCCATCAGGGTTTGATGCCTTCACAGTTCACTCTGTTTTCAAGTCAGAAACCTAATTTCTCAGGATAAAATAAAAGGGTAAAGACAGTGATAATAAAAGAAAATATGATTAACTTGTGATTCACATCTGATCTCAGGAATATAATCTAATTTTAGACCTTTCATTGATTTAGAGCTCTATTGCTAATGCTGCATTTGAAAGGAAAGTGAATGATTCTTGGTGGTTTGGACATGCTTCAAAACTCTTGCTTTTCTCTACCTTCAGCTATCTTGTTTCTGTGTTTTGTTTGGTTTTAGTGGAAAAGATCAACAGAAGAGATCAGTGTGTGATCTAGTTATTAAGAGGAAGATAAAGATCATCCATTTAATCTTTTTTAAAAAAGAAAACCCCCAAGAACTCTCTATATTGTCTGTGCTCCTACAGCAAAACCTTCAGTTTTTCGGTGGCTTCCTAAAGATGGCTTTTACTTTCTAGGATTTCAGGGATGTCAGTGATATGCCCTTGCAAGGATCTGCTTGTCCATTACAAATCCCAACAGGTTTGTTTCAAAGCAGTGACACTGAAACCTCATCCTCCAGCCCAGCTTCTAGGGAAGAGGATTAGAATGAATATAAGACAGAAATAAAGAAGATCTGGAGGCAGAGAGAACAGAAGGGGCAGGATGAGAAATAAACAAGGCTTTGTGCATGTGTGTGAGCAAGAAGGGAGGAAAAAAAGACAGGAAAAAGCTGGTAGGAGGAAAAAAACAACCTAACAAAGGAAGCAGTGGGCAAAATAGGCTCTTAAGAGGAAGGGGGGTGCAGGACATGGCTGAGACTGAGGTGGGTGTGAGCCCCTGGGCCCCTCAGCAGGACAGAGTGGGAGCACACACCTCCCACAGCCTCACACCTCACCACGCAGGACAAGAGCACAGCAAACTCCAGGGCTAAGTTTAGAAAAATTTAACAAATTACTCTGACATACTTGGGCCCAAACCACTGCTAGAGCCACTGTAATTCCCCCAGAAGCTCGTCTGAGATGGAGCCAGGAGAACTGAGGGAAGCCCTGTTTGGGAGGAGCCAGCCTGGGAACTGGGCACCTTAACCCTGGTGCTCACAGGATTTGCCTACAGTCCTGCTGTGTTGCTCTTGTCCATCATGTTCACATTCACCTCAGTGAAGAGCATCAAAGCAAAATTACTGCATATTCTTCCCCATTGGAGAGCTCCCTTCAGCAGGATCATGAATCCATACTAATCCTTGATGCATTTTTGTTTAACCTGACTCTGGCTCATCTCAAACTGCAGCAGGACATGGAGGAAAGTTACAAACATCACTGTGGAGCTTCTGCACATACCAATGGCTCAGCACAGAGCTGAAATTCCCCACACCTCTGCCTGAACCTGGAAAAGAACAGTGCTGGAACCTGAAGCTGCATCACACACTGTTCTCTGACACAACCGAGCTTTTAACCTTCTCCTTTGACTCTTTCATGGCCTCATGTTGAATTGGAATTTTTTATCTCTTTGTTTGTTTGTCTCTTGCTTCCATCTCTCTACACAAACAGCGAGTGGCCTGATTCTTCATCCCAAGCCCCAGTCATTTATTCTGAAGCAATTGGAATGTTATGTCCAGAAAAGGACAGCATGTCCTTCCACCCTCTGCTCTCAGATGGGCCGGAAAACACTCGGAGTTCTGCAGAGCCAGCACATCTCAGGGGAGAGATGGCTGGAGCTGAGCAGGTGTCCCAGCCATGACAAAACAACATTTTGTCTCTGCTTCAGTGCTGCTGAGTAGCCACTGACATTAGAAAAACCAATTACTGACCACACAAGCCCAGCCTCACCTGCTGCTGACAGAATGTGCCACAGCCCAGGAGGGCTCATGCTCAACCTGAGCTCACCCACCTCTCCTCATCCCTCTCTCACAGTGTCAGCTGCTGCACTGCTCACCTGACATAACAAATCTCCATTTCAGGAGTGTGTGCAACTTGCTTTACAACAAGAACAGGCTCAGTCTTTCTGCTTATACAGCTAGAAATTCACTGCACAGGGACAAAATGAAATAGAGACCACCCAGAGAAGATGACGTAGGTCCAGAGGCAAAATTAAATTTATTGTAGAATTGTCTACTTCATGCAAGACCCAAAGGCTCAGCAATCAGGCCTAGTAAGCAAAAATTAATTAACAATCTGCTTTACTCACTGGGGAAGTGTATATTTAACATCTCGAGCCCTTGAGGGATCAGCCTGGCAAGCTTCTTGAAACTTAAGAAAAATAACCTGTATCATCCAACAGGCTGGACAGCTACAATTAGTATTTCTTCATAAGCCCTTGTTTTATTTTGTTAATTCCTTCTTGATACCCCAGGCTATGTTCCGGCCTTTCCCCCATTATTAAATAAACCTTTTTTGTCATTCACAAACCTGTAAACCTGCTGCTCTGTTCATTTGTAGTGACTTGGAACACTCTGTTCTCTCTCATATTTCAGTCCCAATGAGAAACTCCTCCTTGAAAATTCAATAAAGCATCTGCACAGCACGTTCCCATGAAGCAATTCACCAGCAGAGCCCAAGCAAGCTTTAGTTTGGCATCTCCAGTTGACTTTGGACCAAGGTGCTGCCCCTTCTCTCTCCCGAGTGCCAGAGCATGGAGCTGAGCCCTTGGCCAGAGCTTGGTTCAAACCACCCAGCTCAGAGCAGCTCATCTGCTGCTCTGGGCCCTGCAGGCTGAGCCCATCCTGCCCCGGGAGCTTTGGGCTGCCCAGGCTCTGGCAGCTGCTGCAGAGCAGATGCGCCTCTGTGCCTGCCAGGCTCCCAGTGCCTGGGACACCTCAGCCCGACAGCTCCTCTCACCTGTCAGCAAAAGCTGCAGATGCTCAGCAGCCCTCAGGGCACCCAGGACAGCCTGTGGGCACTGGGTGACAGACTGCAGCTTCCCCTGGCCCCACAGGGGTTCTGTGCCTGCTCCAGGATGGGGCAGCAGAGGCAGCAGGCAGCTTAAGGGGGCCGTTCATCAGGGCCCATTGCACAGATCACAATCTTGCATCTCCTCCTGACATGACCCTTCCCAGGTACCAGCCACATGCAGATTACCTAATTCCCTAAGGGAGAATCCTTGAATTCACACATGGCCCTAAGCAGAAACATTGGTGCTGCTAAATCATTTGTTTCCTACTTTC